CATAAAATGATTATAAAGAAAACATTGGGGTTTTATCTCTAACATTAACAAACAAAATTTAGAACATCATAAAAACAAAAGGGAAATAATATGTATGAAATGTGCTTTCTTTTCTTCCCGAAATTCCCCTCCTCTCCTCAATAGATTAACATGTATTTATAGTGATTGGGGAGAATTGAGTTTGACTTCAATTAGCTCTCTTCTTTTCCTTATTTTGCCCGATTCTTATCCTTATTGTGAATTATCCTACAAAAAGTAAAATTATTTCATTAAATTCACAATTAAAAATAAAGTGGGAGAATTAATTTAAGAAAAAAGATTGGTAGCTCGAAATGTGAGGCTCGAATTTGGCCCAACTTTTATACGACGTCGTTTTTCAATCTTTTTTGTTTCTTTTATCGATAATGCTAGGTAGCTCAAAATTTTGTGGCTCAAATGGCTCAAATGGCTCAAAACGACGTCGTTTTGACAGATTTTGAGTATAAAACGACGTCGTTTTGACAGATTTGAACCATTTGAGCCACAAAAATTTGAGCTACTAAACATTTTCCTTCTTTTATATCTGAAACAGGGGAGGGAGGGAGAGAGAGCGAGAGAAAAGAGAAGAAAGAGAGGGAGGACGAACAGAGAGAGAGAGTTGGCGGCCGACGATGGCGACGATGAGCTGGCGACGGTAACGATGAGCTAGCGACGGTCGATGATGGGCGACGATGGCGACAGAGAGAGAGAGCTGGCGACAGTCGACGATGGACGATGAGGGATTAGATCTGTGTTTGTTTTTTTTTTTTTGATTTTGATTTTGAAAATCTGTGTTTGATTATGATGATGTTGTGTGTTGTTGTGGTTACAGTCGGTGGGAAAATTTGCTCTGTTTTCTGATGTACCAATCTGATAGGAAGATGTACCGATCTCTCTGTTTTCTCCTTGATATTGTATCACCGATCTAAATGTATCACCGATCTGAATGTATCTTCTTGATAGGAAAATTTGCTCTTGAAATTGTATCACCGATCGGAATGAAAAAAAAAAAATTGTTGATGTTGATGAAACTGTCCAGGCACTGCTCCAGCTTCCTCTTCTCTTCCTCTTCTTCTCCTTCTTCACTTTCATCTTTTGCATCTTCAGGAAAAAACAAAAAAAAAAAAAAGTCTCGAGCCATTCGAGCCCCAAAAGTCTCGAGCTACCAATCGCGGTTGTTAATTTAATAAAAATAATAAAATAATTATACATTTTTAACCATTCATTAATATTAACCGGAGACGTAACATTGGTTTCATGGCATCCTACACCCTACAGTAAACATGATTCATATTTATTCGATTTATAAATAAATTAATGACCGAATTAGCCCGGAATTAGCACGGGTAACGTTCACATAACATCATAGTAATTGGAGACATAACATTGGTCTCATGCCATCCTACACCCGTATAGTAAACATGATTCATATTGATTCGATTTATAAAGAAATTAATGACCAAATCATCATTTACAGTTTGATGAAATTTGAAACCAATCAATTCAAATCATAAAATTCTTAAACTAAACCAATAAAAGGGTTGGATTTCAAATCACAATCTTGGAAATCTTATCATCATTCACAATAGAGCAAATTTCATTTTACACCCAAACTATCATTCACAAATCAATTCAACTCTTATTTTTCTAATAATCTCAATTTTATACCTAAATTCCTTGATTTTGCATAAATTTTATCCCACCACCAATTGTTGTCTCTAATCAAACAGAAGTTATTGATGTAGTACCAAAATTTTATTTGAAATCTTATTTAATCCCCCAAACTATTCAAAAAATATCGAATAGGCCCTTGAATAAAATGAAATTTAAGGGTCTAATTAATATTTAGAAATAGTTTATGAGATAAAGTAAAATTTCAAACAAAATTTTGATGTCAAGCCATTGATTGTTGAATGATAGCTTGGGAGGTAAAATAAAATTTCCAATTCACAATATGATCACAAGTATAGCGTTTCAACTTTTGATATATATTTGATACAATAAGATAGTTAAGTGTTTAATAACAAATTATACATATCTAATGGTCTCAAACCAAATTATTGAGAAGTTAAAAATTGACTTTTTTATTATTTTTTAAAGTGTAAAAAAATAGAGATAATATGACCTTAAAAAAAACTGCTTTTTTCATTATTGTCACACATTTTTACACCAAATCAATATTTTTACACGAACCAAATCAATCAAAAAAACAAAAAAAAAAATCAAATATAATTACACTTCATAACACTAGAAAAATATTTGATTTGGTTTGTTCTAGGCTAAAAAATATTTTCTATTTTTTAGAAGCTAAAAAATATTTTTCGAACTAAATCTTATCAATACAGTCAAATTACCGGAAGAAGTGTCACTGCTGTGCTCAAAACACAGCAGTGACTTTAGTGTCTCTATTTGAAGTATATTATGGTCTTATTTTTATGATCTAAACCGTTATATTGTAGGGTTTGTTGAGTACTTCATGCATACCAAAAATCATATTAATCGGATATCAACAACTATATGATCGATAACCAAAAAAATAAATAATAAATTTTTCTTTTGAGAAATAGCATAAACAATATGCGATTCGATCATATAGTTATTAATATCCGATTAATATGATTTTTGTTAGGCATGAAGTACTCAACAAACCCTACAATATGAACGGTTTAAATCATAAAAATAAGATCATAATACACCTCAAACGGAGGTACCACAGTCACTGTTGTGCTATGAGCACACCACCACTAACACATTAGTTTTAAAATCCCGATCAAACATTAGCAAATATTTTTTTACGGAAACAAATTAAATTGAGCGATAATAAGAAAACAAGGAACAAAGAATGGTAAGAGAGAATTATCATTGGAGCTTGAAGACGGGATTTGGTCACATATTATTCACGTACGGAGAAATCTGTGTCCAAACACCCACATAGCAAAAGAAACTATAGTGGTCATTACTTGTCAAAAGCTGAAAGCCAAACAGGGGGGGGGAAAAAAAACAAAGGAAAAAAGAAAAAGACAAAGAACAAGAACAAGAACAAGAACAAGAATAAAGGACAATGTCGGAATTCAAATAAAAATGCTTTTAAGACATACAAATCCACTCAATCTGACTACCATTCTGTATAATTCAAATTAAAGTTGCACACTCTCACTTTGGTACAAAGTCCAATAACACACCAAACCAGATTTACGAGCTTACTAAAGCCCCCCCTGTGGTGGTAATGCTCACAAGCCCTTGGTACCAAACAAACCTCTTTCGTTTTGCCTTGGAAACCAACTCATCCAAATATTCCAAGTTGAACCAAAAAGCATATAAAATGGTTTTCACAAGCAAATAAAAAAAAAAACTGCAAATATTTAGACATGAATACACTACTGAATCTTAATCTACCATCCAATCATTACTAAGAATTTTGAGACCTGCTTGGAACACACTATAATCTGCCATATTGTAAAAATACAAGCAGCAGCAGAATGTCGAACAGGAGTGCAAGAAGGGTAACATCAGCTTAAAGATCTACAAAACAGAGGTAGGGGCGCTCATATGCAAATGTAGCACAAAGCTACAGTAGACTTTTTTTTTTTTTTTGGGATCAGCTACAAAAGAAAGCTATAGTAAACATTTCATACTCACATACAACAAAGCTATGTCAAAAAAAAACAGATAAGGTTTTTCTCTCAAACTCATACAAGAAGGCTATCAAAGCCCCAAAGATCTTGAGAATGGTCAATTCATCACTGCAGTCTCCTATTCCTAAAGATAATGGCCAGTGATATAGCTAACACAGAAGAGCAATCAAAATTGTTACCGATTCAGAAGAGTCCTACTGTATATCATAAGCATAGAACTGCAATTTCAGAACAAAAGTATCTCACCTGCTACAGAAGATTCTTGCAACTAAGCATGCCGTCTACTCCTCAGAAATTTACTAAGGCATACTGTCACGGTCTCAAAGTTGGAAAAATATAAACTCCAAGAACATTTTTCAATAGCAAAATCCCACCAATAATGGCCAAAAGCCATTCACATGATAATGATGCAGCGATTCTAGAACACTGTCAACTAGAATCTTCACGTCTCCACCAGATGTTTAAACAATTTAACATGGACCACCTGATCTCAACCAATAGGATTAGGGATACATCCATGCGAAATTGAGCACCAGATACTGCGAACACGAAGTTCAACTGCACATGAACAATCTAATGGAAACTTTTTCTACCACAAGTGTTGTTGGTTTACACGAACTTCTATAAATTTATGATGTTATTATGTTGGAAACTCGACACTTGAAAAGATATGCAATATGTCTAGTTAGACATGCACCAAACAAAAGATACCAAAGTAGTGGAGTTTACTGTATAACTATGCACACAAGATTCCCAGTTTATGTATCAAATGCTCTATCTATGGTAGTTTATAAACAAAATTTTACCTTCAATTTCTTTTTGATATATATATTTAAATAATATGAAATCTAGTTATATCCAACACCCGTGTCCAAACCATGTACAAAGGAAATGATGTCATTGAACATTAGAATTAGATAAAACCCAACACCCACCTCCAAGTCTATGTAATGTAAAAGCATGGCATCAAAGTGCCACTGCATATCGTGCTAGCATTCAATCCACTTTTAACTCTATCACAACGAACTTCATGAGCTCATGTGGAGTGGGTGTCGTAATTTATCAAAGTACAACAAATTAAAAGGATTGAAACCGTGAACTCATTCAAGCAGCACATCCACTTGCTTTAGCACAAATGTATCGTCTATCTTGCATGAAGGGACTAAACTCCTGTGGTTCTTCTACATGCTTCAAGAACCCAAAGTATGAATATTTGACCCACCAATAATTGACATGTTACAGTATCTAGTCATTAACAAAAAAAAAAAAAAAAAATTACAAATTCATCAACACACTACAAATCAAAAACTTGTACAAAGAAATCAAAATGAAAGGGGGGGTCTAATCTAACAAAAATCAGAGCTTTTACGCATGCTTGTCAAGATTAATCTGAAATGAATAGGGAAAATATAAACAGAAATACAAAGTTGATTACACTTTCACAGACAAATAGCTACCAACAACCTCTAAATCCCATCAAAACTGAAGAATTTTGAACTTTTGTCTTCCCCAACTCCAATCAAGAAACTAAAAAACAAAGAAAAGACAGACCTAGGGTCCTCTTTTTCACATTGTCTATCACAAACATTCATGTACAGTACAAAACTCTGATTAACCAGTTGTCAACTATGATTTCTTCCAACAACTGGCCATTGAATATAAATCCCCACCATGTACAGATATGGATATAAGTATAAAACCCACCAAAACAAAAAAACATAAAACAAAACCCTAAATTCCTTACCTTCTCAACTGTGAAATCTGGATTCTACACCATAAAAGAAACAATCTCTCAACAATCTTTCCACCTAGGGCTCGGCACGGGTAGTCTTGGAGAGATTGGGAACTGTTGAAACCCTAATTGACCGGTCGTCGATGGCGAAAACAGCAGACTTGGGGAAAGTAAAGGATACGGCGATCGAGGTGATGGTATGCACCCGAAAGGCAGTGGCGATGTCGGCATCAGGAACGGTGATGATTGAGTCGGCGCCGGAAAAACGTTGTGCTGCGGCGGAGGGAGCTGTGGTTGGTGATTCTGCGGCGGTGGAGGCGGAGGCGGACCGAGATTGTTCCACCTGGGGGAAACCATGAATCGCTTGGGATCCGATTCGAAAGCCGAGATTGAGGTCTGGAGGTAGCGCATGTAGGCGGAGATCGGCGATTCCGCCGCCGCGTGCACCGTCGGGAACGGCGGAAGCGGCGACAGCGGCGCCACCGCCCTCTGGTTGCTGTTTCCACCGTTTCCGGCGGCGTTCATGGGGTGGTGGTGGTGGTTCGGCTGTGGAGGAGGTACGGCGTTGTGTAGCAGGGGAGGAGGGCGGTTGGCAATTTGCGCCAACGGCGGAGGTCGGATCCGCTGCAGCCGAGAGCTCGGAGGCTTGGGAGGCTGAATCGGCGGAGGCTTCGAGAAGCGCTCGTGAGCAGGAGAGCCAGTGAGCTTCTGAACCACATCTCTGAAATCGCTCTTGTTGATGTTGTAAACCGGCGGCTGGTGCTGCTGCGGCTGAAGACTGTCCGGCTGCTGCGACTGCGGCGGCGGCGGAGGAGGCGGCGGGCGGTGAACCTGATGGTGATGATCAAAAGTGGGTGTGGGTCTCCTAATGGGTTTAGAGATTTTGTGAGAAATTTTGTTGAGGTGATTCAGATATTGATCTCTGTTACTGTTGTTATTGTTGTTGTTGTTGGTGGTGTTGGTGATGCTAGTGCTACTTGAAGTAGCAGTGGTGGTAGAAGAATCCCCAGAAGAGTGACAGCTTTTATCCATCTCTCTCTTCCTTCTTCTCCTCTAATTTCTCTCTCTGTAATTGATTACTTGTTTTTCTCTTTCTAAATATCTCTATATGTATATGTATGCATGTGGGTATAAGTTTTGTCTGTGGTGGGGAGGTCTTTTTCTTCCTTCTTATTAATAGACAAAAAAATGTCTCCCATATCATTCTATATATATGTTTCAAAATTTATTATCCTTCCGGCTTAAAATATTAATTTTTTATTTTATTTTTTATTATTTTAAAATATTTTTTTTTTAAAATTAAGTATAAAAATAATATAAATTTTTTATTTTATCTTTTTTAAATTTATTAATAATATAAAAATATAATTATGACATTAATATTTTTTTCAAAATTTATTATTAAATTTTTAAAAAAAAAATCATTATTCTAGACCGGAGAGAGTATTAACATTTGATTAGTTCTAGAGAGATAGAGAGGTGTGAAAGAGCCAATCCGTGTGTGGATGCTAAAGTGCGCTATTTCTCTGCGTGTGTCTGCTTTTTTACTCATTGTGATATCTTCGGGCTTTTAAAAGAAGACACAACGGGGACAAGATGACCCGTAAGTAAAAAGCACGCAAACTCTCGGTACATACACACTCACCCCTTAATTATTTCCTCTATTAATTTTTAAAGTAAATTATAAGTACTCTTGTCAATTGTTTAAAGAAAAGTATCTATCAATGTGTTTATCAACCCGTGTGGTTTGAATTTTTTGAATTAAATTTTTTAAAATTTAAATTTTTTAATTTTTGTATTTGTTATTTTTAGTAAATATTTTTTTTATTTTTTAGATACACCTTACTTAGATGTATTTAAAAAATAAAAAAATTATGAAAAAATATTTTAAAAAATTAATAAATACATAAAAATATTAAAAAAATATACTGAATTATCGTATTTTTTTTTATATTTTGGGTATTTAGTAAATTTTTAAAAGGTTTTTTTTTATAAATTTTTTATTTTTTAGATACATCTAAGTTAAGTATGCCTAAAAATTAAAAAAATTACTTAAAATATTAAAAAAAAGTAAAAATAAAAAAATACAGAAAATAAGAAAGTCGAATTTTTTGAAAAGTGTTTTTTGAAAAGTGAAACTAAGCATAGCGAATAAATTTTAAAATTTGATTTTATGAATCGATTTTTCTTTTTTCATGAATTTAAATTTTTCATTAAAATAAAAATTACATAAAATTATGTCATTTATATGTTTGGATTTAATTTTTAAAGGATAAAAATAAATTTCTCAAAATATAAAATTATATATTTAGACAATTCATACCATAGAGGTTTTGGATTTCTCTCATTCAGAAACAAATCTCATATTACGAATAAAAATATAATATTCTAATATAACACATATATTTTTCCAAACATAACAATGTAACAATCTAAAAAAAATTATACTTTTTCCAAATATAACAACGTAATAATATAAAAAAAATTTAGTATACTTTTTTCAAATATAATAATTGTGTGAGTGATTTTCCGTCTACACTGCCAACTCAGTATTCAGCTGGAGAGCACTGGCAGAATAGATGGCACCTGTCTGACCTGCAACAGAAAGAGAAGATTCCGGCAGTGGTTCGTCCACCCGGGGGCACTCCGACGATCAAGTCAATATATCTCTCAAAGATAATCAATAATGCTAAACTCACTATTCAGAATATAAATTGTGTACCTTAGACCCATGGAGGTACCTTTCTTTTATAGCAAACTCAATCCTAGTCCCAATAGAAGCCTAGCTCTAATGGACTTAGGATTACTGTTAATCTTGGACTCCTAGTAGGATTAGGATAAACTCTCTAAAAGTCTTATCTTAATCCAAACTGAAGTCTTCTCTCATTCTAGGACTCTTCTCCTTTATCCGCTTATCTCGGATTCTGGTATTGCCGCAGAATACCTTGGCAGTGCTCCAAATATCTCGGCAAATATGATCTGCCCACATAACACCTCGACTAATGTCACGACCCAAACCCGCCCCTATGGGTTTAGCACCGTAACCGGCCAGTAATCCGAGATTACCGAAGGCCTGCTTAACAGTAATACAATACTACAGAGTACAGGGGCTGGTGGAAGCCAAAACAGTAATTAAAAGATGTCCAATGAGCTGTGACAGTCTGTATGCAAAAAGACTTTTCATATATATATATATATACAATCAGTACCAAAACAGTATGTACAATATATACAATCATTCAGGACAGGGACTTAACCCCTATTAGAATAGTACAATACAACACCATTCAGTCTATACAGTAATTACAAAACAGATACAAAAAAAGGGGGAAATTAAAACACCCCAAAAGCCCTAGTTTGAAGGACTTGAAACCTCTCAGTGAGGCACGTTGGTTGGCTTGACAAAATTGGAGTTTACCCTGACGCTTCTAGCAACGGTCCGGTGCCTAAACACCTACATATATATATGAGCAGTGAGCTATAGTCCAGTGAATAACATATGCGTAAAGAGGTTAAGAATGAATGTCCTTTCAGTATTGAAAACAGTCATTTAAATAGTATATCAGTCATTCAGTTTGTGGCTCATAATTCATGCCATAACAGTCATTCAGAAACTATAATAGTTATATGTGGTACATCCAATAGCAAAGCAGTACAGTAGGTCTTAACAGACCGTGCAGTCAGTGATGGCCATTAGTAATGGTTCTAAACATGGGAACCGACAGAGATCTCTGTAACAGTAGCAGTAACAGTTCAGTAACAGTATATTGCTATGGATGCCACGAATACAGTTCACAAATAGGACAAACATTCATTCAGTAAACAGTGTCATTTCATAAAGCAGTACAGTCATTTGTTCAGAAAATAATCTCATTTGAACATATCTTTACAACATTGTTACTCACAGAGTTCTGGGCTACAGATAAGCTAGTACGCGTCCTCGGATGCCAACCATACACAGTTACAGAGTGAACACACACTAAGCTACACATTTGGGAAAAATAATAACTTAATCCCTAATTTGCCTCGGTGTGGTTCTACGTCAATATCCTCATTAAGATGCCTTAAATTAGGCCTAAGAATGCCTAGAATGGAATGAGGATGCAAAGATGCACTTTAAAAATATTTTCAGAATTTTCAGAAAACAGAGTTCCCGCTCGAGCGTAGGTTTCCCCGCTCGAGCGTACATGCAAACAAAAGCATCCGCTCGAGCTTAAACTTTCCCGCTCGAGCGGACTGCAAAAGTACTGGATGTGTGAAAATCACGCTCAATGGGTGCTCGACACCCACTCGAGCGTGTGACACAAGTCCTCGCTCGAGCGTGCAAAACCCCACTCGAGCGGACTGTAAACACAACAAAAGTGCTGGATACACGAATTTCCCGCTCGAGCGCCACTTACCCCGCTCGAGCGGGAGTCCAAAATATGGAATTTCCAGATTTGAACCTCAAGCTCAAAATCAAGTTTGAATGCATCAAATTCGATCCTCTTGGGCCAATTTTCTGGAAAACACTTGTAAATTCATAGTTTAACATGATTCAAATCTCAATTTGAAAAATCAAGGCCCAAATGTGAGTCAATTAAACACAATTTCAAACAAATTCCATGAACATGATGTAAAACATAACATGCATGAGTTTAATCAACTCCAAAACTTCAATTACTTGCTCAAATGAGCACAATTGCCTAAAAAACAAGATGAATTCGTGGACTAAGCTCAAGATATGAACATGCATGTGGGATTTCATGAACTACAACCTCAAAACTTCAAAATGTAAACATGCATGCAAGAATTAAGCCTCTATTCAACAATCTTAACCAATTCTAGACTCAACTCTTCAATTTAGCACGAAACATGAAAGAACTAACTTAAATTCACAATTAAAAGGATGGACACACTACCTTAGGTCCTCAAACTCAAGAATATAAGCTCAATTGCATAAATCCTTTACAAATTCTTCAAGTCTCCAAGAAAATATAAGATGAAATCAAGTTTCTCTACTCCTCTCTCTCTCATTCGGTTTTGCTCTCGAAAAGGCTGAGGGAAATGTTGTATCAAAAGTGTATAAGGTGAAGAGAGGTTAGCCTAGATTACTTCACTAGGTGGCAAATTTGTAGATAAGTCAAACCCTTGTAATTTATCATTATTAAATCTAATTTAATCATACCCAATCAAATTTCAATTAAATATGCCATAAAATCATATAAATCTTAATTAGCACAAAACATCAATCAATTTCAGATTCGGCCACCGATAAGGCCTTTAATTTGCAGTTTGAAGCATAAAACATGAACAGATAATTTAACAGTCAACAAATAGAATTGCATTCAAACTAGCACAATCAATCAATCAGCTTAGTAATTCAGTCAGTCAGTCAATTAACAGGCTTAATCATGGATTAGCACTAATCAGTGGTGAGGGTTGTCACAGCTAATAACCTCGGCCACGTGGACTACCCAAAAAATGTCCTCACAACTGCCCCCTAAGTTCTATTACCTCGGCAAACTGAGGTGATGGAACCTATATTATCTCTTTTATCTAGCACATCGGCTAAGCTTACTTCATCATTTATTGCTGAAGTTAGAACTCGTCAGCTCAATATGACACAAACCTATAGTCTGCTTTCATCAAGGCTTTGGAACCAACAACCAAATTCGTTCAAGTTTCTCAGCCGAAACTGTCCTTCTAGCCGAGGTATTTGTTTCATTAAATCAAGAACTTCAAGAGTTTTCTTCTTGCGTATGAGCTGGCACGTACAATTTTTCAACCGTTTCTGCCACGCATCTTTCCTCTACTGAGCGGTGTCTGATACGTGTCATTAAGTCGCCTTGCATTTGCGTATTTGATCAAAATCTCTTCACTCTCTCCGTCTTTTCACTTCTGCATCTTCGTTTTTGTTTAAACTTTTCTCTTTCAAATCCTCTATTGCTGCTTTTGCGAAGCTTTCTGCAACCAGTTTCACTCTCCCCTCTGGTGAGGCTTCTGCTGTACTTCCTTGCTTACGGCCACCGTCTGATCCCGGCGAACTTTACTTTGGCTTCATTGCTTTACTCGTTCATGTCTTTTGATCATTTAACCTGTATCTTGAATTTCACCATGTACTGAACATGTACTGTCTTTGTACCTTGTACTTTTTTGTTTACTCAAAC